GGCTTTCTCTAACATTGCTCCTGCTGCAACTTACTTTTTTATGTCTGCAAAAGACTTTACCCTTATTTTTGAAAACTTTTCTTTGAGTATATATTGGTTATGTCAACTAGGTATAGAATTCACCATTGACTATTTTTTTATTTTAGTACTTTAAAGATGGTGTTTCACTTTCTTCTCTACATTGGTTCCAAGGAAAATCTACTGTCTTTAAACTTTATTTTTCTCTGTGTAACATAATTTGCTTTTCTAGGAAATTTAAAAATTTTCTTTTTATCAGTAATTTTGAGAAATTTGATTGTTTATGCCTTGGTGAAATTTTTCTTGTTTCCTATGTGTTGGTATTTTGGGCTTCTTCAACTTGCGTTTTATGGTTTTCATCAAATTTAAAACATTTTAGGTCATTATTATCAATATTAATTTTATCTTCTCTCTCCTCTCTTTCAGGTATATATTAGGCTGCTTGAAGTTGTCCCATATCTCACTGAAATTTTTTCATTTATTCACCCTTCTGTGTTTTCTTTTGGATGGTTTCTGTTGCTGAATTCACATATCTAATCTTTTGGAATGGCTACTCCACCATTAATACATCCATTGTATTGCTCGTCTCACTATGTGAAACTGCCTTTGGTCCTTTTTATATCTTCCATATATCTTCTTCACTTTGTTTACATACAAATTGCAATTGTATTGACTGTATAGTTTTCATTTGTGTCATTTTTTGAGGTCAATTCAGTTGATTGATCTACTTATTTATATAGTCATATTCCCCTGTTTCTTTATACCTAGTGTTCTTTGATTGGATGCCAGACATAAATTTTACTTTGTTTACTGAATATTTTTTTATGTTCTTATAAATATTATTTAGAATTTTTGGATGTAGATAATTTATTTGGAACAATTTGATTGTACAGGTCTTGCCTTTTTATGATTTGCTGGTTGGGGCCAGAGCCATGTTTTAATCTGGGGCTAGTTACTCCCTGCTACTGAGTTAAGAGCCATCTTAGTTCTCTACTCAAAGCCTTATGACTTATGAAGTTTTCCCAGTGTTTAGCTTTACAGTAAAATATTTCTAGTGGGAATAGGCATGTTTTCTACACCTAGGTAGGTTCCAGTGACTGTTTCCCCAGTCCTTTAGGCAGTCTTTACTGTAGTCTTGGGTAGTTGTCTTACCTGTGCTCATTTATTTTCTTGCTAAATATTGCAAGAACCCTCTGAGAATCTCTGGGGTTTTTTTTCTATATGCATTTGTCTTCTTTCTAGTATATTCAACAGTAGCCCAGATACTCACAAAGGGAAATCACATTTTTGTGTACTATATTCTGTTTATGTCTGGTAACCTGAGTGATATTTGGGTAAGCCCTCAGGAATCTTCCAATTAAGATCATTGAGAAATTACTTTAACTTACCAGGGCAGCCATGGATACGATACTGTGTCTGATCAAAAACTGGATTATCCTCTGATGATGTGTAGAGAGGTAATTTGCATGTGTATTAAATGTATTCTTTGTGTTTTGGTCACAATGGAAATTTACCCTTTATTATTCTCTTATTTTTGTAATGTTACAAGTCAAGACAAGACTGATAATCCATTTCTAACATATTGTCACATTTTAAATAAATTGTTTTACATTTCTAATGACAAGTTAATATTGACCATATATTTTCTTTAATATTGTAGAAACAAGAACTTCTAGAGAAAAAATGGCTTATCATTTACAAAAAAATGCAAGATACTGGCATTAAAGAAGATATGGGGGAAAAATACATTGAAGTACAAAGGTCAAGATGGAACAACACATGGTGAATGTGAGAACATTAAAAGATGATTTAGCTAAGTAGGAAATGCTTATCTACCTAAATATTCTTTTGTAATACTCTGTGTATTTACACTTGTTACTCCCTTTGTGCCAGACACTGTTCTAGACATTTCTATATTACAATTCAAGTTGAAAAGTAGGCATATATGTAACATTATAACAATCTTATCAATTGGCTCAGGAGAGGCTTGCCTGTACTGGCTTGCCTGTGCGTAGTTCTAACCAACCTCCCTATATTTAAAATAACTACTGAAATGATACAAACTTGTAAGATAACTGCTCTTATATAGCAACATGGTGTTCTATTATACTGCCAACCAGTAGAAAGGGTGAAGGTAGAGAATTAGGGAAAAAGAATGAACAAATAAATGAAGAAAGAACCAATTAAGTAAGGAGAAATGGCTTTGCTATGCTGTCTCTACCAGCTTCCTTTATTTATACATTATGAAATTAAATGGGTTTTCTCTTCTAATATTAGCTACAATTTTATGCCAGAATGCAGAACTGTAGACTTGATTTAACTATCTTTGATTGTGTAGTGTAGGGAAAGAACTGATTATTTTCCATGCGGCTTCATCATAGTATCCCATGAATCCCATTTTGAGGTCAGAGCTTTCCTGTGTCACTGCAGTAGATTACCAACTAGCCTCTGTTGACTTTTTTTTTACCTGCCTCAGATCCATTTTGTACTGTTGCTTGTTACGCTTAAAACTCTGTTCTGATGGTTTCTTCTTCCTCCACTGTTAAAACTATTACCTATTAAATGAAGCTCTGACTGTTTCAGCAAGCATTTATCAGCATCCAAAGTTCAGTACTTACCTAACTTTTAACTTTGTTTTTACACTACATCCTTGAAGATGGCAGCTGTAATCTAGTAGTGATATGAAAAGACTCCGGTGCTTCACTATAGAAGTACAATCCTGTTTTATCATTTTCAATCAATGTAACGGCTTGGGCAATTACTTAAACTCCCTAAGCCAGTTTCATTATCTGAAAACAAAGATAATACTCCTAAATAATTTCTATAAAGAGTGTAAAAATTCTAGCATATAGTAAGAACTTAATTTATTTGTTATTTAGTCAAATTAGACTACTGGTCATTCCTAAAACACATGTTATCTTTCCTGCTTCTCTGCCTCTCTGTATCCAATTTTCTCAGAATGACCTGATTACCGTATCCACTTATCAAATCCTACATTTTTGTTAAGCCCTACTGTAAATTACATGCCAAAAAGTCAATTTTGATACCCTAACTGGAAGGCCCCTCTTCTATGAATCTCTGAAGTAGTATTTACCACTTTTTAATTTACATATTACATACTTCCCACTGTCTTAATCATTTATAATATTAACTCCCACATTTGTATTTAACAGAACACCATGAAAAAGCATATACACTAACGACATGTTTGCTAATGAATTAACTAAATCTATTTACTTCATTGAGGCAATGACAGCAATATCATACCTCAGATATGAAACCCCTTTAGTACTATACAATTTATTACATCTTCATTAACTTTCTCATGTATTAGGAAGAATTTAAAAATAGCTTAAACACTTGTTATTTAAATACACTGTTTGTTGAAGAAGTAGTATATAAATGAGTTTAGTTTATTTTATCAAAGTGACAGAATAGAAAGAATATCCATGGCATAAATTAAATTAAATTATACTACTATAGTAATGTTTGTTACCTTCCAACAAATAGACACTTTTAGTGGGACCGAGAAAGTAAAAGAAAGAAAGTATCAGAAGAATCTGCTCAGTGATCTGTGAATGTGGAAACAGATCACTCTTACATTTAACATCTCTCATAACAGCCCCCTGAACACACATGCAGTAAGGACCTTCTGCCACTTTATAGTTAGAAAAGCAAAATTGTAATTGTCTTTATCACAAAGAAGGGAATATACATGTGTTATTTGCTCTGTCAGGCATCAAGGCATATCCAAGATTACATTAGTCACTGTGGACTGCTGAGTTTTCAGCCCAGTCACATGTTGATATGTACCCCAGATGGAAAATGACAAGTTTCAGTTGAGCCCTGGTGCAGATTTCCCTTTCTGCCAAAGAAAAAATTTATCCCTCCAGGGGTATCTTTTACTATGAAGGGATAATATTTCAAGAATTGTCTTTCCTCCCATTTCACATCTCTCTATCTTCTCCAATATCTCTCACAATCCACATACAGATTAAGCATATAGTTCACTCTTCTTGGCATAAAAGGATAAGTAGTCTATCTTGGGTAATTCTGTCATCATTATTAAAAATAAATATTTTATTATATTTCTTTAAGTTTTTCTCCAAGAATAAAAGGAAGACTTCTGAAGATATCATATTAGTTTATCCTGCTGGAGACGAGAATACCTATGAAAAAATATCTGGTAATTGAATATTGTGACAAGAAACATGAGATACTAAACAATACTTTGGGGAAAGATAGTTTTGTAACAGCTTCTTCACTTAAATGTAGATAAATCCTCTGTTTTCTTTTGTCAAATGACTGATTTTGAGTGATGCTTATCAACAGCTATGTGGCCTTCATTGCTTTTAGAATTTGATAATAGATAATTGACTTATTGTTTTGAACCCTGACATTATATTATTATTTTATAAAATTAATGAAGTGTCTATTATGATTAAATATATAATGTAGCATGTCTAACAATTTGTAAAAACATATATATGCTTAAAATAATTTCAGAAAACTCTGAAATGTGTTAGAAATTAAGTATATTACTCCAGATTCACTGTGGCCCTTACTGAAACATTACTTTATTATTTTAACTTATGCTGTGTCTCTTCTCTTCATGCTGCTCACCCCGAAACCTAAAATGCAATGAAAAAAAGAACTCAGTAAAGACAAAAGCCCAAGTTTACAATACAAAAATCCTCAAAAAAAATCATCAAAGTATGACTGTTCAGAAGTCCAACAGTATAACTTATCTCCCATTATTAAATTTCAAAGAAAAAATTAAAGTTAAATTTCTTGGCCTTATTGGTTAAAAAATAAAGGAAATACTGTTTAAATCTTTTCTTCCCAATATGCAATTTGCTTAGTCTCATCAAGAATCAGAAATGTTGGGAGAGATAGGGTTGCCTTAGCCACGGATATCTTCCTGCCTCAGAATCACTGAGGTTCAGTAATTTAACTCTGAAATTCATAGGTCCCATTTTTAAAGTTTAGTTTTTACGATATACCAAAAGTTTATTTATAACTGGCAAATTTATGGCAATACCAGCTCTACATCTTACACTAAATGTAGACTGCCTCAGAATCACTGAGGTTCAGTAATTTAACTCTGAAATTCATAGGTCCCATTTTTAAAGTTTAGTTTTTACGATATACCAAAAGTTTATTTATAACTGGCAAATTTATGGCAATACCAGCTCTACATCTTACACTAAATGTAGACAATAAAACTAAATTATCAATTTCTAAAATACTTATCTCAAGCAAACTGATTCTATAAAAATCTGGTGTTTAATGCATCCTAGTCTGATCTTCCTGTTGTCAGAATCTCAATGACATTTTAGGAAAGGATTGTTTTTAGCTCCTCTGCGATACCAGTTTCAATTGTCTGGAGAACAGACCCATAAATTTAATTAAGCATGGTTGGGAGAAATATCCTATTGAAAGATGAAATGTAAACTAATGTGATTCATATCAGCCTTGGCTGTGAGCAGTTATGTATAGCTACTCTCCAGTCTCAGTGAAGGGTATATGCATCATTGTGGTCTTCTTGTGAATTTCAGAAATACACAATAGTGACATCACAAGTCATAAGTTTTTAGAGGTGCCCCTCTTTCCCATGCACCATAATCAGGTCTTTCTGGTTTCCACTTCATCATAGCGTCATGAGTATGAACTCAGGAACAGTGTCACATCCTCTATACTCCTTATGAGAAATTTGCCCCACACAGTTTTGCAGCTGGTGATTCTCCAGGCAGCGTTCGAAGTCAATTTCCTGTTCCAGCTCCTTATCTTGTCTTTATTTTTCATTCTCAGAAAACATCTTAAGGCATTTATTTTGTTTTTTTAAATCATCCTAAAGCAAAATGGAATCTTTTGTACAATTACATGTACGATCATATGTATAGATTTGTGTAACCTCGATCACAATCACATGTAGAACAGTCCAACATTCCAAAAATCTCCCTCATTCTGTTTATTTGCAGTCACACCCTCCTTCTCCCAACTAATAATCCCAATTACCTCGGGATTATTACTTATGTTACCTCTGGGATTATTATCAAATAGTGGTATGTTCTCATATAGTTATTTTTCTGTTGGAGAATGTTATGTAAATGGAATCATACATTATATGACTTCTTGAAAAAGGCTTCTTTTACTCAGCATAATACCCCTGAAATTCATCCAAGTTATTGCATGTGTCAATAGTTTGTTCCTTTCCCCCATCAGAGTTTATTTATTCATTCTTGAACTGAAAGAAATTTGAAATTTGGCACTGTTTCCATGTTTTGGTGATTATGTATAGAACGACCAGAAGTACAGTTGTCATTTGAACATTAAGGGCTGAGAGTTGGAGCGTTGACCTCCTGCACAGTAAAAAATTTTGACTGCCCAGAAACTTACTAATAGCTCACCTTTGACCTTACTGATAAGATAAACTGTGGAGTAACACATGTTACTTGTGTTATATATATTAAATACTATAATCGTACAATAAAGTAAACTAGAGAAAAAAATGTTATTAAATTGAGAAAGTCACAAGGAAGAGAAAATGTATTTACTATTTATTAAGTAAAGTGGATCATCGTTAAGGTCTTCTCATTGTCTTGACGTCGTAACATCTCTGGCCAAGGGAAGCTCCTTCATTATAGCTCTAGCGGTGTTTCTGCCATGATCCTAGTGGTGTTTGATAGCACTTCTTGCTACCTGGGAAAACAGGAGGATTCTAACTTATCTGGTACAAATCTAGTGGCTTTGGCAACTTTGAAAATATAAAGTGATCATAGATTGATGCATTTATCTGTATTTATGCAAATACCTCATTTTCTTTATTATTGTGGCTTTAAAATAAGTTTCAAAATTCAGTGGTTTGAGTTATGTTATCCAAACATTTGTTGTTATGCCAGGTTGACTTCGTTATTCTAGAGCCTTTGCTTTCTATACAAATTTTAAAAACTTGTCCATTTCTACAAAATAGCTTGCTGCTATTTAGTTGGGATTCCCTTTTCATTTATTTCTCTCTGTCTAGGACCTTCAGTACAATGTTGAACAGCAATGGTGATTGTGTACCTCTTAATATTGTTCCAAAACATAAGGAAATGTGATACATATGTACTAGGATACTATATTATATTTATTATATTATTTTAATTATATTATGATTACTATGTTATTTATGTAATTGTCAGTATATTACATATTATACATGATATTTATAATTTGTTTTATTGCATATTTGTTCATGGAGGAATTGAAAAGAATTTTAATTTATTATATCTGTAATGGTATTTTGTATCAAAGTGATTCTGATGTAAAAGTGTGAGATAGAAAATGTTCACTCTTTTTTAATTTTTTGGAAGTGTTGTGTAGAATTAGCATTGCTTACATATTTAGCACAATGCAGAGGCGAAGTCTCTTTAGTCCGTAGCTTTTTTGTGGAAAAGGTTAAACTTTCTACTTAATTTCTTTGCTACAGGGCTCTTCATATTATCTACTTCTTTGTGATAAAATGTAGTCATTGGGATTTTTCAGGGAATTTGTTTCTTGTATATATTTTCAAATTTATTAGCAAACATTTTTCATGTATTTATTTATTATTTCATTTAGTAATTATCTGTAGATTCTATTTTACTGATTTGTGATCTTATTTGTTTTTGACTTACTACTTACTAAACATCTTAACGAGCCAGTTTTTTATTTCATTCTTTCTCTCTCTTTTTACTTTTTAAAAATTTTTACTTTGATCTTTATTTTTCTTCTATTTACTAAGTATTGGCAAGGATGTGGAAGAACTGCAAACCTGATGCACTGCTCATTGATATGTAAAATGGTACAACCACATTGAAAAACTGGTTTGGCATTTTATTTTTTAAGTTCCATTCATTCTGTTACTAGGTATTTACCCAATAAAAATGAAAAAAAAATTTGTCCACATAGGACCTATACATGAAAGTTTATAGAAATTTTTATTTATAGATTTTATTTAGAGTAAAATAAAAATTATATTTATTTATAATAAAATTAATAAAATAATATAAACAAAATAGATAAATATTTATAAAAACTGGAAACAATCAAAATTTCCATAGATATGTGTATACAAAATTATGAAATAGCCATATAATAGAATTCTTCTCAGAAATAAAAAATATGCCATTGATATATGTGACAATGTTGTGATGAGCGAAAAAAGCCAGGGAAATATGAAATTTTGGAAAGCGCAAACTAATCTTGAGTTAGAGGTACGGATCAGCATTGTTGGATTATGAGGATAGATTACAAAGTTGCATGAGAAAACTTCAGGGGTTAACAGAAATGTTATCTTGTATACAGTGATGATTTCACAGTTTGATTCATATTTCAAACTAAATAGTTAAAAAGGTACGATTTATTGTACTTTTATTGTAGATTCCTAAAGCTGTTGAAAAAAAAAATACTAGAGTTTCTCTCTGTTTTGTTTACTTTTAGGAAATACAGCAACTGCTGGTCATCAGAATCAAAATAGTTCAGAGAATTTTATTAAAAAAACCTCAACTTCTGTTGTTCAGGAAAATGTGCAGTATAATGGTGTAAATCAAAAGGTACAAAATTATGCTTTAAAGTTTACTGTTGTGTTTATTAATTTATCTACTTAACTTTTATTTCCATGAGCTCTCACCTTCAGCAGCATAGTACTGATTGGTAGGGAAATTTTTGTTCATGAAACCTGATCCATTTTCCTGGCAGAGAAAGTAGTGAGTTAGCTTTGTGCCAAGCGCACTATGAATTTTAGCAGAAAATAATCCAAACAAACATTTGGCGGTAATAATAATAATGATAGCTTGTGTTTATTGAGCATATACTATGGACCAGGTGTTGTAAATGGAGAACAAGGAAATTGGGTAATATAAGATAAAAAGAATAATACATAATTGCTCCTCTTAAAAACTCATTGTCCAGTGAGGCGACAGACACGGAAAGATATTATTCCAATAAAATGATCCTGAAATGATGAATTTTACTTTGGTTCTAAACAGTGTTTTCAACAAGGATTACACTGGATTGGACTGGGTCTGAATGAATTAGATTGGATTTCTCTGAGACAAACTGAATGAGTCTAAACTTTTTAGAACTAACCATAGCATGTATGTATTACCATGCCTTTAGGCAAAATAGGGAAGACTGGAGAAGTAAGTTTATACATTGCTACATATTGAACTCAGTTTTTAACTAGTTAAATTTGAGATTATATGGAAGGGAGGTTAATAATATGTATTACACTTAAACAGTTTTTATGAGTTACAAGATAAAAGAAGAAAAACATCTGTATTCATTGGTTAATTGATAGAAAGCAGAACTTCTTTTAGAACTAATGTACTTTTTCTTTAATGTGGCACCATGTAGAGAGATGGGATGATATCTAAAAACTCAAGTATTGTCAATGATAGAGGTAAGAAAATGAACAATATTCATAATTTTTCTGTTAAGTATACAATATAGTTATATATTTTTAGTTGTTTTATCTGATTATAAAAATGCTTTTTAAAAAAAGGATGATATAATTTTCTATGAATATAGATATTATAATTAGCCCATATATTTGAGTGAGTGCTGGATGAATGTCCTTTCAAAATTTGCAAAGTGTGGAAAAGATAGGGTCTTTTTTTTTTTTTTTTTTAATTTTTTATTGGATTATAGGTTTTGGGGTACATGAGCAGAGCATGCAAGACAGTTGCGTAGGTACACACATGGCAGTGTGCTTTGCTTTTCTTCTCCCCTTCACCCACATTTGGCATTTCTCCCCAGGCTATCCCTCCCCACCTCCCCCTCCCACTGGCCCTCCCCTTTTCCCCCCAATAGTACTCCCCTTTCTGTGTCCATGTGTTCTCATTTTTCATCACCCACCTATGAGTGAGAATATGCGGTGTTTCATTTTCTGTTCTTGTGTCAGTTTGCTGAGGATGATGTTCTCCAGATTCATCCATGTCCCTACAAACGACACAAACTCATCATTTCTGATTGCTGCATAATATTCCATGGTGTATATGTGCCACATTTTTCCAATCCAGTCTATTATCAATGGGCATTTGGGTTGATTCCAGGTCTTTGCTATTGTAAACAGTGCTGCAATGAACATTCGTGTACATGTGTCCTTATAGTAGAACGATTTATAGTCTTTTGGATATATACCCAGTAATGGGATTGCTGGGTCAAATGGAATTTCTATTTCTAAGGCCTTGAGGAATCGCCACACTGTCTTCCACAATGGTTGAACTAATTTACACTCCCACCAACAGTGTAAAAGTGTTCCTTTTTCTCCACATCCTCTCCAGCATCTGTTGTCTCTTTTAATGATCGCCATTCTGACTGGCGTGAGATGGTATCTCAATGTGGTTTTGATTTGCATCTCTCTGATGACCAGTGACGATGAGCATTTTTCATATGATTGTTGGCCTCATATATGTCTTCTTTCGTAAAGTATCTGTTCATATCCTTTGCCCACTTTTGAATGGGCTTGTTTGTTTTTTTCCTGTAAATCTGTTTGAGTTCTTTGTAAATTCTGGATATCAGCCCTTTGTCAGATGGGTAGACTGCAAAAATTTTTTCCCATTCTGTTGGTCTTGCTGTGGCTGTTTGTAGTTATAGATAAAGATGCTGACATACTGGCTCCAGCAGATTGGAATACAGGTAATTATACCCAAGATTGTTTACATATTTCAACAAATGGTACATTTCGTTTCCCATTTCTCTTTAAATGAAATATGCATTACCCAAGATTTGTGTGCCTTGTTATGTTTATGCAAGTCACTAAATATACTCACATGCATGTCTGAAATATGAAGAGAGCTTCTTCCAGTAGCTAAAGATCACTTCAAATTTAATACAAAACTAAATTCATCATCAGCTTCCTGACCCTTTTATTTTCACCCAGGCACAAAACCTGAGTTGTCTTGGACTCTTCCTCCTAAGTTTTGCATCTAAAAGTTTACACTTTCTGTCTAATCTACTTTCTTGATTTATCTTGACCTTCACTCTTTTCCATTCTCATTGCTTCTACCCTTGTTTTTCTCCATTCTTCTCTATTGCAGTACCCTTCCTCTATTTTACTCACTATATATATGTTTATGTAAACAATATTCCTAAAACACGGCTTTGTTTATTTCACTATTCAAATAGTTTTTTGTTGTCTACTTAATGAAATGCAAACATTTAGTTCTAGCAGTGGGCTGTGGTTACAGAAAAAGATTGAGCTGGCGTAAAAACATTAAATAAATTAGGATTTCAGACTTGTCTTTGAAGGCAATGGGAACCATTGGAAATTTGTATAAACATCAAAAAAGTCATCTTATTTTTGAATATATTTCCTTGACTCAAATAAATCCCTGATTGTGGCAACTCTAGTCACTGTGGCAGCTGAGCAGGGAGAAGGTTGGGGTAATGCTGTAAACTAGTATTAACCCTTGTCCCAGCAACATCAGCTTCTCATATTTAAAGTTATCTCTTCTTTCTCTAGGAGATACTAACATTTCAGGCCAAGATTCAATTATTTCAGCTCAGGCATCACCCACAAGAAATTTATCCAGACTTTCACAGGCATTTTTGGATCCTTCAAAAGAAGAGGTATGTAAGAGTTCTTTTACTCCAAATACAAACACAATAAAAGGGATACAATCTTATGGTCATATTGATATACAAAAATGTCATTATTTATGTAATCACACAAAATAACTCTATTCTCTGAAGTTAGTCACACCATAATAACATTTTAATAGCCCTAGAACGGTCTGTTTAAATGTAAGATACAAGATGTTAGTTCATGGATGTATCTGCAGCTTTCAGAGGAAGTATAAAGTTGAGCTTTTTTGATTGGGCTTGTACTAGAAATGATTTAGTAGTTTTTTAACCAGTGATTAGTTACCTGCTGTTGAAAAGATACCACCAAAGATTCAGGGTATAACTTTTGGACATGAAATAGATTTTCTCTGTCAGCAGCTAACTTGTTACAGGAATCAAATATGCCTCGTTGGTTTCATTATTAATATAGTATTAACTAGCTCAACTGTCCTGGGGAGTTAATGTGGTTTGAAATAGATTTCAATAAACTAGAAATTTATTAAATCATTTCCAAAAGAATTCTTCATGACTAGGCTCGAAAGTGGCATTATTTTCCATGTCCTATAATGTATAATAATTGAGACAGTAAATTATGTATAACTCCTAAATGTAGTATATTTATCACAATTGCTTTTCTATAGAGCAGTTTTAGAATGAACATTTGACAAATATACATTGGGCTTAGTTCACTGTTCTACTGTATCAATTGCCACATTAAATATGCTAAGAGTCAAAAAAAGAACATTTTAACAGCTTTCACATTTGACGTCATATTGGCCAACATATTATAAAGGCTATGTCCTCAACTTAAAAAAATATCCTTTAAAAACAGTGTCTAAATTTTATTACTGACCTTTTTGGGGTAATGTGTGCAGTATCTGACATTGCTATCCATACTAAATCTTAGATGTGTTAGATGGGAGTACAAATGTATGCTGAATCCCAAAGTCTTAGCAAATCATCAAATGTGTAGGTAGTTTTACGTACAACTTTTGATACAACTGTGAACTTGGAATTCTATAAATAATACATGTAATGTAAACATAATAAAATGTGCATTTCTTATAAATTGACACTAATGATAAATTTTTAAAATCTTAAATTTCTGAATTTTAAATATAGAAATAATAGTTGATGTTTGAATACTAAAATTTCTTTTATGGATCTATTTGTTTTGTTTTCGTGAATTATGTAGGAGACAAATACATGGAAAACCAACCAAGAGATCAAGCTATCTCTACAAATCAGGTAAATATCAGTAGCAATTATTGAGTAAATCTTGCATTTTATTTATTTTTTCAACTAACATTTATTGAGTTTTTGCTTCATGCTAGATATGGTGCTAAGTTTTAAACATTCAAGGAAAAATGGCACAATTTATACTCAGGGTTCTTGCAGAATACTGGGAGAGATAGTCATGGCCAACTATGATAAAGAGCAATCAAGGAAGTGGGTATGTATAAAAGTTGGAAAAGTTATGGGAAAGAGAATTCCTATATCTATCTAGGGTCATTACAAAAGCCTTTACAATTTAGGAAGAGACTGCATTGAGTCAACATGAAGGGTGAGAAGGAATTTCCTATTCTTTTTTTGTTATTTTTATTGTTTGTACTAATGTTGACAACCAAAATTGGAAAAACAAATTAAATTCTTTGTACACACATCCTTATTCTTACTGTTTCCTCCTTTAATATCAGCAGTTGACAATTTAAAATTGTACATATTGAAGGTACAGATGGTCCCTAACTTGCAATGGTTCTATTTAGGATTTTTCAACTTCACTGTAGGTTTATTGAAGTTATGGAATGCATTCTCGGCTTACAATATTTTTGACTCACAATTGGTTAATTAACATGTAACCTCATCCTAAGACAAAGAACATCATATACAACTTGATATATGTATATGCTATAAAATATTCACCACAACCAAGCTAATTAACATATTCTTAACTTCACATAACTATTTGTGTGTGGTGGGGAAAGAACACTTAAGATCTACTTTCTTAGAAGTTTTTAATGATACAATATTATTAACTATAGTCACATGGTGGTACATTAAATCTTCCAAACTTATTTATCTTATTTAACTTCCTCGCCATAACTCCTGGTAACCACCATTCTATTCTCTATTCCTATGAGCTTGACATTTTTATATTACACAAGTGTTTTTGTCTTTCTGCATTTGGCTATTCCACTTAACATGATGTTCTCCAAGTTCTTTGATGTTGTCACAAACAGCAGGATTTCCTTCATTTGAAAGGCTAAATAGTATTCTATTGTATCTCTCTGTTTGTGTACCTGTATTTACCTATACATTTACTTAGACAGACAGATAGAGCTATCTCTTGGTATATACCAGATTTTCTGTATCCCCTCATCTGTTGGTGTACATTTGTTTCCATGTATTAGCTATTGTGAATAATGCTGCAGTAAACATGGAATGCAGGTATCTCTTCAACATACTGATTTCATTTCCTTTGCATATGTACCCAAACGTCGAATTGCTAGATCATAAGGCCATTGTTGAGGAAACTTCATATTGTTTTCCATAATGTCTGTACAAATTTACATTTCTACCAACAATGTGCAAGGTTTTCCTTTTCTTCACAATCTTGTCAGCATTTGTTGTCTTCTACTTTTTTGATAGTATGCATGTGAAGTGGTATTTTATTGTGGTTTTGATTGTATTTCCCTGAGATTAGTCATGTTGAGCATTCTTCTATATACTTTTTTTTATTTACATGCCTTTGTTTAATAAATGTATTTAGGTCTGTTCATGTATTTTGCTCATTATTTGTAATTTTTTTTAACCATTGAGTTGTTTCAGTTTCTTAGATACTTTGGGTAACAAAACCTTATCAGACATATGGTTTGTAAATATTTCTCACTCTGTTGATTGTTTTACAGCAATGCAAAAACTTTTTAATACAATCTCATTTTTCTATTTTTGCTTTTATTGCCTGTGCTTTAGTGCCATATCCAAACATACTGCCTAGATCAACATCAAGAAGATCTGTATGTTTTCTCTTACAGTTTTATGCCTCAAGGCCTTACATTTATATCTTTAACTCATTTTTTGTTGCTTTTTTTATATAAGATGTGAAGTAAGGATCTGATTTAATTCTTCTGCCTGTGGACATACTGACAACATTTAAGGAAAAAATTATCTTTCCCTATTGTTTCTTTTTTGTGTTATTATTAATTGGAAAATAGTTATTTTCTGTATTTATATTGTTTTATTTTATTTTTAATTGGCAAATAGTTATTTTCTTTAAGAAATTTTTATTTTATTTTAGGTTCAGTGACACATGTGCAAGTTTGTTTAACAGATAAACTTATGTCTTGAGGGTTTGTATTTCATCACCCTGGTACTAAGCCTAGTATTAGTACCCAATCATTATTTTTTCTGATCCTCTCCCTCCTCCCACCCTCTACCCCCAGGTCAGCCTCAGTGTTGTTGTTCCCCTCTTTGTGTCCATGGTGTTCTCATCAGTTAGCTCCCACTTATAAGTGAGAATATGAGGTTTGGGTTTTCTGTTCCTGTGTTAGTTTGCTAAGGACAATGGCCTCCAGCTCCATCCATGTTCATGCAAAGGACATGATCTAATTCTTTTCCATAGCTGCATAGTATTCCATGTATTTTTAAAAACCTAGTCTACCATTTGTGGACATTTAGGTTGATTCCATGCCTTTGCTATTGTCAGTAATGTGCTGCAATGAACATACACATGCATGTGTCTTTAGGATAGAATGATGCATGTTCCTTTGGTTATATAGTCAGTAATGGGATTGCTGGGTCAAATGGTGGTTCTGTTTTCAGCTCTTTGAGGAATCATCACATTACATTCCACAGTGGTTGATCTAATTTACACTCCCACCAACAATGTATAAATGCTCCCTTTTCTCTGAGAACTTGCTAGCATCTATTATTTTTTCTTTTTAATACTAACCATCCGGACTGGTGCAAGATGGTATCTCATTGTGGTTTTGATTTGAATTTATCTAACAATCAGTAATATTGGGCTTTTAAAAAATATGCTGCTAACTGCATGTTTATCTTCTTTTGAAAAATGTCTGTTCATATCCTTTGCCCTCTTTTTAATGGGGTTGTTTGTGGGAATTTGTTTAGGTTACTTACAGATGCCGGATATTAAACTCTTGTCAGATGCATAGTTTGCAAATATTTTTCCGATTTTGTAGGTTGTCTGTTTACTCTGTTACTAGTTTCTTTTGCTGTGAAGAAGCTCTTTAACTAGATCCCATTTGTTAATTTTCGCCCTTGTTGCAATTGCTTTTGGCATCTTCATCATGAAATCTTTGCCAGTTCCTATGTGCAGAATGGTATTACGTATGTTGTCTTCCAAGGTTTTTATAGTTTGGGTTTTACATTTAAGTTTTTAATCCATCTTGTGTTGATTTTTATATATGGTATAAGGAGGGATCCAGTTTCAGTCTTCTGCATATAGCTAGCCAGTTATTCCACAACCATTTATTGAATAGGGTATCCTTTCCACATTGCTTGTTTTTTGTCAAAGATCAGATGATTGTAGGCATGTGTGTCTGTTTTTATACTAGTACCATGCTATTTTGGTTACCTTAGACCTATAGTTTGAAGTCAGGTAGCTTGATGCCTCTTGCTTTGTTCTTTTTGTTTAGGATTGCCTTGGCTATTCAGGTTCTTTTTTTTTTTTTTTTTGATTCCGTATAAAATTTAAAATAATGTTTCCTTGTTCTGTGAAGAGTGTTATTGGTGGTTTGATAGGAATGGCATTTTATCTGTAAATTGCTCTGGGCAGCATAGTCATTTTAACAGTATTGATTCATCCTATCTATGATCATACAATCTTTTTCTATTTGTTTATGTCATCTCTGATTTCTTTAAGCAGTGTTTTGTAATTCTCACTGCACAGATCTTGCATCGCCCTGTTTAGTGGCATTTCTTAAGTATTTCTTTCATTTTGTGACTGTTGTGAATGACATTGCATTCCTGATTTGGCTCCCAGCTTGACTGTTTTTGGTGTTAAGAATGCTAGTGATTTTTGTATGTTGATTTTGTATCCTAAAATTTCCTGAAGTTGTTTATTAGCATAAGTAGATTTGCGCTGAGACTGTGGGATTTTCTAGATATAGAATCATATCATCTGCAAACAGGAATAGTTTGACTTCCTCTTTCCTATTTGGATGCCATTTATTTATTTGTTTGTTTGTTTTTGATTGCTTGATTGCTCTGGCCGGGAATTCAAATACTATATTCAATAGGAGTGGTAAGAGAGGCCCAGCCTAAACCAAGAAGAATGCTTCTAGCTTTTGCCTATTCAGTATGATAATGGCTGTGGTTTATTATAAATGGCTCTTATTATTTTGATGTATATTCCTTTGATACCTAGTTTGTTGGGAGTTTTTAACATGAAGGGATGTTGAATTTTACCAAAAGTCTTTTCTGCATCTATTGAGATGATTATGTGTTTTTTTGTCTTTAGTTCTGTTTATGTGATGAATAATGTTGATTGATTTGTATACCAATCTTGCATCACAGGAATAACACCTACTTGATTGTGGTGGATTAGTTTTTTGATATGCTGCTGGATTTGGTTTGCTTATTTTCTGGCCGGATAGTGGCTCCTGCCTGTAATCCTAGCACTTGAGAGGCTAATATGGGCAGATCACTTGAAATCAAGAGTTTGAGACCAGCCTGGCCAACATGGTTTAACCCCATCTTTACTAAAATACAAAAAATCAGTGAGGCATGGTGGTGTACACTTGTAATCCCAGCTACTCAAAAGGCTAAGGCAGGAGAATTGCTTGAATTCAGGAGGTTACAGTGAGCCAATATCACACCTCTGCACTCCAGCTTGGGTGACAGAGCAAGACTTGATCTCAAAAAAAAAAAAAAAAAAAAAAAAGAAAGAAATGGTTATTTTCTATATTTATATGGTATAATGTAATGTTTCATTGCATGTATACATTGTGGAATGATCAAATCAGGCTAATTAGCATCTACATATCTATATCTGTATCTCACCTCAAATATTTATTTATTTTTTGTGGTGAGAACATTTGAAACAATTTATTTTAAAATACCCATTGGGTTTTAACCACAGATATGTAAATTTATTTCTGGGCTTTATATTCTATTTTGTGGGACTATAGGTCTGTTTTTATGTCAGTATCATACTGTTTTAGTCATTGTGGTTTTGTAGTATACAATATTTTAAATCAGAAAACATTATGCCTAATCACATACCT